AGCCCTGACTTTATCAGGGACAGTGGTTTCCTTTATTCCGTCCCAGGGATTAGTTTATACTTAAAACTGAGTTGAATGAAGTCTAAGTTAAGTTAAAAACAAAAAATAAAATATAATAAATGTAAGAGCTGCAAGTAACTGATAAGAATTTTACCAAATGATTTGGAAGGAAAAGTCAGAGGATTAACACTTGTACACATACCTGGCCATGGTAATAATAGGTCACTTTTCGCCCAGAATCACGTCAATACCTCCTACTCTAAACAATGGGCATTGGGTGTGAACTAAACTGAGTAATGTTACCTTCGAGCTCCATGGGACAATGTTGCTTTCCTCTTCATTGCTTACCCAGAAGCTGCCTTCCCTTGGCCTTAATTACTGCAATTAAACCAGCATTCAGCTGCACAGTGTGAAGGTGTATTTATAGCATGCAGGTGCTTTATGGTTTCCAAATGGCCAGAAAGCATAACCACACTATAAAGTTAAGAGTATGCTCCACGGTCTCCTACTAGCCTTTTTTTAAAAAATGTGGGACGGAGGAGATGAAAGCCTTTTGGCTCTTAGACTTCTTGGTGTGACTACAGGCGGTATGGTGGTGTTAAGTCAGGAGGACTGATTCAAATCCAGTCACTTAGTAATTGTCTGACCTCGGGCAAGTTACTTAATTTGAATTTAGCTTCTTCATATACATGTGAGGAATATACATCTACAGAATGAGGATAATAAATCTTACAACACCGTTGTTGTGAGGATTGAAAAGTGAACTCTGGGGATCTTTGAAGGTAAGTGGTTACAAAAACACCAGCATACGGTTAACTACCATACATGGGCTTGAAAGTTTTATGTCAGTAATTTATTTCTAGCTAAAACAGAATCAAGTTTAAGAGTTTTATTAGAAACTGAATGGGATGTCAGGTTCTGACCAGTGGGAGTCGACACTGGCTCATCCACACTTATCTCCAGAAACACTGAAACCAGGCAGACACCCAGCCCATCCTCCTCCACTGCTGCTCTTGGCTACGCATCCTGGGGAGGGCAGAGTGGTGCACCACCCAGGAGAAGGCTGAAACTTGGGGCGGGGCAGAGAGCATCACTCTGGTCCTCCATAAAAACTGCCCGTAATCTGGTGTCTTCTCACCACCCTGAAGAGCTGAAGGAAATGGAAGTGTAAATAAATTCTATTAATACAGTTCATATTCCTCAGGTTAAAACATTAGTTGTTACCATTATTATTGTTTTCATCTCAGATTTGAACAGACACCAGAACAAAATTCCTTCCGAGTTTTGGTTTGCTCCCCTCCCATGCCTCCCTCAGAGGGAGGCTGCTGACAATTCATAGACTCGTTGTTGAGTTCCCTGGAGGCTGGAGCTCAGAATCAAAGGGAAGACCTTTTGACTCATGTAGCAAGAGTCCCAGCGTGAAGCTACTCTGTGATCACCCTGGGATTCAAGATGTCAGAGCTGCAAGAAGGAGAATGGCAGAGGCCCTGTGGTAGCCGAGAGCAAAGGAGACAGCACCAAGGGACCCTCAGAAACAATTAGAGGTTCGGAAGGGTGCCTAGAGCCCCCGTGGGTGAAAGCAGAGCGGAAGAGGCCATGTTTGCCTGGGAGACCAGGGTTGCATTCAGAAGATGCATCATTGCAGAGCCAGCTGGTGCCTTTGCTGTGGCTCCTTCCCCAGAGGTGGTGTTTGATAGTAGGGTTTTGTGGCAGGCCATCCCCTCCATCCATTCCTGATGGTCAGAAGGCAGGAGAAGCTGAGAGGCTGTCACCTGCCTCATTTACAAAGAGGCTGAGCCAAGTAGGAAATCTCAGTAGGATTCCTCACTGTTTTCCCAAAAGACACCAATTTCACAGCATGGCATTAGCATATCCTATTCACGGGGAACCATCTGCATGGAGCTGAAAGCCTGTTCTCCGTCCAGAAAGCTGTGGATTATAAGTATTTCATATTTCAAATGATGTCAAATACACTGTTAAATGCTCCACTTATGATGTTATACCTAAAGAGGAGTAAAAATTTGAGCGAAGTGCCAAAAAAGAAAAAAATAACAGTAGGAGTCTTGTTTGCTAGCCACAAAAACCAACTTTTTATTGAAGTATAACATACATACAGAAAAGTGCACAAATCGAAAGTGTATAGCTTGAAGAATTTTCACAAACTGGACACACGCAGGTAACCAGCAACCAGATCAAGACAGAATATCCTAGAAGCACCCCTTGTGCCCCTTCTGTGTACCATCTCCTCAAGAGTAACTAATATCCCTACTTGCAACAGCATAGGTTAGGTTTGCCAGGTTTCACACTTGATATAAACAGAATCATACAGTACGTACTTGCCTTATCTTGTAAGACTCACAGCACGCTGCAGTGTGTACTGCAGGATCATTCACGCTCATTGCTGTATGGGATTTCACTATTGTGAATATACTTTGATTATCCATTCAATATGGGCATTTGGGTGCTTTCTGGTTTGGGGTTATTATGATTAATGCTTCTATGAACATTCTATTACATTTCTTTTGGTGAATATATGTACACATTTCTGTTGGGTATACATCTAGGAATGGAGTTTTTAGGTCATACGATATGTACATTCAACCCAGGCTATTTCATCGAAGAATAAGGAGTTTATTGGATGGAGGCTGGAGGCTCAAAGAATTGACAGAAAGCTAGAAAGGAGACCTAAAAAGATGAGTGGTGTATGAGACACCTCAGCAGGGCCAAGGAATGGAGCAGAAATGGTCTGCTCAGGACTCTGCCATCCCTGGACATTGTTACCAGTGGACACACCATCCCTGCAGGCTGCCAGTCTTAGACATCTCCTCTGCTGGGCCACTGCCACCCCTGGACCACCGCAGCTCCCATGAAACGAATCTCAGCATCCCTTCATTTCTGTGTCACTTGCTCCAGGCTCACACTCCAAGCAAAAGAGTCCAAGTAGTTTACCCGGGGTCACTGGCCACTCCCTGGCTGGTCCGGTGCTGGAAAGGGGGGTACACCTGAGAGACCGGGAAGACCTCCCCACTTCAGCATCCACAGTGGGAGGGGGTATTGCATCCCACTAAATTTCTATGTAAGGGGTGATTTCCTCCTATAGGAAGAGGGGTCAGAAGCTGGACAGCCAACCTGGAGACACAAGATGACATCTGTCCACTACAGGAGCACTCCATTGCGTTCACCTCCCTATGACTGCTAGAAGGGGGAGGGGGCTCATTCACACGTTTGTGTGTCTCATAGCCCATGTGCATGACCCTGCCTTTAAGAAGACATCCCTGAGTTCAGGAACACTTTAGAAGAGTCCAGCCACACAAAATGTCACAGGTTTGGAAGGAAAAGGTATAATAACAGACAAAAAATCATCTCATGGAGCAATGTAAGGAAGAGAGGAGGAAAAAGAAAAAGAGAGAGAAAAAAAGGGAGGCAGAATATGGAGGGGCAGTAAAAGTAAAAACACAGGGGAGAAAGTTTGGTGGAAGATCAGAAGCATATTTTTTTCTTGACCTGACTTATAGCCAGTTTCTGTGCTGTCCCACTTTCTCAGCTTCTCTGATGTGCTTTTATGGATTGTGCTTTGCTTTATCAGGTTAATGATGTTGACACGGACCACAGAATAAAGAGACCCTGGTCATAAACCAAAACAGAGAAGGATTTGAAGTCTTATTATCACATACGGCATACAATTCTGCTATAGTTTGAGCACACAGCTTCCTAACAACACTGATATTATCAGTGAGCTTTAATGAAACTTAGAATGGGTTTCAACAAAAGAAACAAAGAATAAAAATGTACTAAAACCATTTACAAGGGTAGCAAGTCATTAATTGATCTGAAATTATATTTGGCTCTTTGTAGGCAATTTCACATCATTCCTCCAACTGAACCACGGTACCTTTGAAGTCACGCCTTCTTCCCTATATTACATCTTGGCATTTAGTACCTTTATTTGTTTTAAATGATAATCAGAGCTTTCATCTATGTAGCACCTCTCTATGTCCTCTAGACAGAAAGGCAGGAGGAGTAATTACCATTATCCCCAACTGTAGGTTAGAACATTTCAGGCACACAATGACGCCCTATATCACACACAAGCCGCCGTCAGAGCCAGGGAGAGAGGGTTTCCAAACAAACGGAACAGAACAAACTTACACAAAGAGCTCTCTGTCCCCACGGTTTACTCTCTTCTTTCATCAGGGGTGATCTGGGTTTGTTTTAGCCAGGGCCTGCAAGTTTGTCTCAGAAAAACCAAGAGCTATCTAGCCTTCCACTGGGGCATCCTCGGACCATCTTCCATAAGCTGCAAGAATACGGGCCCAACAGGGCTCCTCCTGGAGAAGATGGGAAATGAGCTGCCGAGTAGACCACAGGGACGGCGCTCAGCGGCAGGTGGTTCAGGTTGTTTGCAGGTCTACCTACCTGCAAACAGGGGGACCTGGAAGGCAGCGCAGCTCAGGGGTTCAGGGAGGGCTCCGGGCCAGACTGCCTGCACTGAGGCCCAGTTTTCCTGCTTACTCTCTACAACGTTGGGGAAACAACATAACCTTTTTGTGCCTCAGTTTCCCTCTCTTTAAAACAGACATATGTTCACGGCATTTATTTATTGTTGGAGGATTAAATAAGTGAATACGTGACAATGCTCAGATCAGAGGATGGCACATAGTGAGCTGCTGCCTGCCCTGATGACTCATTCCTCGGGGGCAGGGGCCACCCTGTGAAACCCCACAGGGCCCAGTGCTGTGCCCAGAATGGGTCCTTATTAACAGAGCCCATGTTAGAACTACCAAGGAGGAGCCAGAATAGGAGGGAGCAGGAAGAGGTGGTGTAGGGAGAGGGATGAGGGCACCCTTGGCTGGCCCTGGTGGAGCACATAAACAGATGGCTATCACAGTGGACACTTACAGTTAAGCTTGCTTCAATATCCACCCAGCAGCTACATGGTAAGAGGACCGCCTCCAAAGTGGTCAGTGACCATCAGTGACAAACAGAGGCCTGGGATGGCCCCAGCAAGATACACATTGAGAAAACCATCCGACGCTGTGGGTTATTTCCTTTTTAGTAGGATGATGGAAAAGCAGGAAATAGCGAACTTTCAGAACTGCCTTCTCCAGGGAGGGAGGTGAAAACTTTACCCATATATTTCAGTTGGTCAAAATGCTCTAATTTGATACTGAATTATCATGAATGGGGGATTGTTAAGCACAGTTTTTCTTTTCAACAAATATCCACTGAAATGTATTAACTTGATATATTTAAACTTTGGAATTGATGTTTAAAAAATTTAAACTCTTAAATACATATTTATTTTTACTTGGCACATTTGTTATTTGGCTACAAAAATGTCTATTTGCTTTGCCAATAAGGAAAATAACATGAAAATGAAAAGAAAAAGTGAAATTGAATGCAATGAATGAAAAGACCGGATAAGCCCCAGCGATCCCGGTTGGGCAGGAATGGGTGTGGGTGGAGCTCCCTAAAGCTAAGAGCATGCAGGGTCTCTACCAGGGATTTTACTCCTTGAGAGAAGAGGAGCCATTTTCATAACCAGCAGAGTCAGAGAATGGTACAGAAGAACTTCTTCTCTCGGAAGGGGTTTTCTGACGCAGGCACTGGTATGATGAGAGGGTCTTCCCGCACGTGGGCTTCACAGTAGGCCAGGAGGTCCGCTGCCGCCTGGGAGACCTGCGGGCGACACAGCACAGGCGCGGGGTTAAAGGCCAGTTCTGAGTGGGTCCAATGCAGAGGTGTCCATGTGGAGAGCAGGCAAGCCCAAGGACAGGCTGTGTTGTGTTCATGGCCAACGACAAGGCCATTCCCAGCCTGGAGAGAGTCTGAGCAAACCCTGAGGAGACAGGTTTTGACATATGCTTCTGAGGGAAGAGATGTTGCCCCAGGATGGTAGATCACCATCTAGAGAGGAATGGGAAGCCAGCATAAAGTCCAGACATCCTTGTTCTACTCTCAACTGAGTGATGAGTGGAGGCTCCAGGCCAGTGGCCTCACAATTACTCTACTAACCCATTTCTAGACGAATAAAGCAGAATGCTGGCCCTGGCCAAGCCAGTGTGATTGTATTTATCATTATTGTTTTATTGCAATACACTCTCATGAACAACAGAGAGAGACACTTTATCCTCCTCAATAGAACACATATTATAAGCATATCATATATAGCACATATATAAGCTATGTATTATAAACACACATGTTTAACTCGGAATGGCCACTGCCCTGTAGAGAAAGCTGCTCCTGACCAGAAAGCTCTTTCCCCTCCATTTTCCTTCCAGGCTTATCTGAGGCCTGCTTACATACGGCAACTGTGCATCAAACTATCCCCCTAGCTCAAGTCCAGGAATTCCTGGAGCTGGAATTCAGTCCAGAGGAGCTGGGTGGGAGAGGGTAGAGGGCCAAGAAGCATTTGCTAAGAAGAAGATGAAGTTACCAGCTCATTTCACTCATGGTCTGTGTCATGTGCTTGGCAGATGATTGGCCTGTGCAGTTAACTCATCCTGCCAATTAGGTTGTTCCCCCTGCAAGAGTTTATTAGAGGCAATAGGCAGGGGTAAGTATATAGCAGTCAAAGGAAGTCAAATCCTTTTAGTATATTCAATGTCTAAATTTTCTCCAGAATGACAAAAACACTCGATAAACGAATGAAAAAATGTTTTAAAGCCTCCAGTGCATACAAGCCACACACATTCCCTCTAGGTTTTTCAAAATTGGCCCATTTTCCAAAAATTTCCAGAAATTTTTGCTTCTGATTTCCAGGCCAGATTCACCCATTTTAGCAGTGGCTGGAATCCTACAAATAATTCCACTTGAGATATATAATGAATTTTTCCCTCAAATAAAACAACAAGAAGTTGAGCAGATGAGTCAAGCTAAATCCTGACAAAGTCTACATTTTCGGCACTGTGGAATGGAGAAAGGGGTATCGATGAGCATCAGGCTCCCGGTTCCATTCTGCCCCTCAGCTGGCTGCGTGACCTCAGGCAAGTAACTCAACCTCTTTGAGCTTCAGTTTCCTCATTTGTAAAACTCAGGAGTTAGATATCTCTAAAGTCCCTTTTACTCTAAATGGTCTATAATTGTACCTCTATAATAGCACCATGGCCAGTATTTTAGATCCAAAAGAAATGTATGTTGGGTTGAATGGGAGTGTCCGAAGTTTGCAGCGGTTTACAGGACACCTGTACAGGAGTTGCTCAGGTTAGGCGGAGGCCGCATATATGGGCCCGGGAGGGGCAGGTCTGCAGGAGACATATGAAGACATCACAAGGGACTATAGTGCAGGATCAGGGAAGCTACTCTGAGGCCCACAAAGCTGCAATGGAGACACAAGAGACCTGGAATCACACAGAGAGTACAGCAGTGCATGGGCATGGAGCCTGAGAGACTGAGCGCTGCCTGCAGTGTGCTAGCTCCACCTTCTGAACCAAAGCCGAGTGCTCCCCGCTGACCGCCTCAGTCATGACCTCCCTCCTCTACACTCCACGCTTCTCCTCATGCCAGAGAGGCATGGGGTCTCCTCCATGGCCACCATGTTAGGACAACCTCTGAACTCATCTAGCGGCTCCTCTGGCAACCACTGCGAACTGGTCTTTGCTGCTGCCCCAGCTAGCACACACAAAAGAGTGGTAGTGCCAGATCAACCCCCTTCCTCCTCTAACAGCCACCCACCCTCCCAGCTCCACTGGGTCTCAGTCCCTGACTCCAGTGAGCTCTTCCAGAGAGTTCCTCTAAGAATGTCTTATCTGACCAACATCCCTGCTCTAGTTTTCTACGTTTTCGTTTTCCCTATCTATTTCATTTTTTTAGATGTGCTTCTGTTTGTTCTGAATTCTCTATAAACCTCATTATCTCATATAGGAAGTATTTACTGAATCTCTCTTTTAGCTAATTGAGAGGATATAGGGGAAAGAATAAGGCAAGATTTTTGCCCTCTAGAATATCTAACTGAGAAGACTCAAAAATTATAAAGTTAATAGAATAATCAATATGTGCTAAAACACCACAAAATAGTTGCACACTATGGCGGGGCCATGGAGAGGGGCAAGGAGACAGGGTTGTCTGACAGCCCCACCTGGTTCCACACGGTGGCAGTGACCTTGGTAAACCTGCCCCCTTTATCCAGAGGCTGGTCCCCCACCTTCTGGGCCCAGAAGCACAATTTTCTGGCATACTAAGAATGGACATCTCTTGTGGCAGATCCAAATTAAACAAGTTCAAGAGACGGCTATATAAAACCATAAGAAAGATAATAGCTAACATTTACTGAGTGCTTATTATGTGCCCGGCACTGTGCTAAATGCATGATCAAGTGTATTACCTCACTGAAGTCTTCTAAATACTATTCTTAAAGCCATTTTACAGATGAGGAAACTGATGCGTGAAAGTGAAGAAACTTGCCCAAGGTCACATTCTAGTAAGAGAGAAGGCCAGAATTGAAGGTAAAGCAGTCTGGTCACAGAATCTATACGCTACAGCAGCTGCCTGATTAATTGATGACGAAAACTGTAACTGTCAAGTGGACTGGAACGTCCTCGTCTGCCAGGCCAGCACACTCTCTTCTTGTAGATCAGCTACCAGGGAACTCACATGGCCAGAAGGAAAAGAGTCTTGCCCCCAAAGTTTCTTAGGTTATTTCATTTAATCTAGGGACAGCCTTGCCAAGAAAAGCCTAACAGCTAAGTCTCCTCAGCTGGGACTTGCTTCCTCTCCCCCCGCCCTGGGAAGAGCTTGGATAGACTCTGCCAATGTCATCTCTAAGACTCTCCTCCCTCTAGGCTGTGACCTACACACCCTTAAAAGTAATTAAACCAGGAGGCCATTAAACTGAGGTGGCTCTAAGGTCTTGGTAGCATAGGTAAGCTAACCCAAACCTAAGCCAGAGGCAATGCACTGGAACTGGAGAAAGTGAAACCTGAGAGCAACCAATCACAGACAGCCAACTAGGCTTCCCCAAAGAAGGCAACGATTAAGCTATAACCAAATAATTTCCTTGCTTTGCTTTAGCATCTTCTCTATAAAATCCTCTCCCCTTGCTCCTGTCAGCAGAGCACTCCTAACCATCTTTGGTTTGGCACTGCCCAATTCAAATCGATGTATGCTCAAATGAACTCTTGAAAAAATTTTACCATGCCTCAGTTTACCTTTTAACAGCATGATCCAGCTGGTCTGAAGTTGGCTTGCTAAATTATAATTACAGCTTCCTTCCCCTTGATCAATTTACTTGTTCACAGGCTTGTCCACATCTGTGGTGAGCGCATTTGACTAGTTTAATTTCCTGAGGGCAATCGCAAGGGGGCGCTTCACTGGGGCTGCTGCACCATCATCCAGTTCATCAGGCCGAGGGACTGGAGGAGGGGACTCAAAAAATGCGGCTTTGGGGGACGGCCCAGTGGAGGAATGATGGGGCTGGGCCACACTCCTATCTCACATCAACGTATCTACTTCCCTCACAGCCCCGCGTCTATGACATTCTAACAACTATGCTGTTAATGTCTGGCCTTCATAGTTCTAAGCAGGTCTAATCTAGGGATTTTGCTATCACCTCCGAAGGTGATACTTCACTTGATGCCACAACTTGCTTTCAAGAAAACAAGCTGTTCTTAGACTGCCTCCTTTTGTTGTTGTTGTTGTTTTAAGATCACAGATGCATTTGCTTAGTTAACACTACACTCCTGGATTGCAGAGTCCTGTCCGTGCACGTGTACAACAGGAATGAAGTCGTAATGAAGTTGGCATTAGTGCCAAGAAATAAGTGCCCGGTTTAAGACCAAATGTGTGGATCTGGGTTGGTTCCATGCAATATTAATTTCCTAGATGCACTCAGATTATTGAAACAACTCTGTGGAGGATAGCTTAAGAGAGTGTAGATCATCTTACAACAAAAGAATCAAGGGAGTTTTCCTCCTTAGCCATCAGCCCCCTTATTTCACATCGTGTCCAGTGTCCCCTTATTCCTGTATAACCAAAGTCTCTTGGATAACTCTTGAAGTTTGTTGTAACATGATCTGAAAAGATAAATATATAAATAAATGAACATCTTAATGAGCCTTACACATGAAAGGTGACAACCTGACACACAGCTTAGTATCCAGGCATTAATTAACCTAAACTGGCTCCTTAGGTTGAGTGGGAGAGTTTTCTTAATTAGCTCTAGATTGATTTTTACAGTCAAAAGTTTCCTACAATGCATATAATATGAGTTGCACACATTGCTAAATCTCATAAAACATCTGCCATCTTTGAAACATAAAAGAGACGATTTGCTTTCAAAGAGAAATTTTTATTCTGATTGGAAATTTAAAACTCCCTTATTGTTTATGCTTTCTCATCAAGCCTAAAGTCTGCTTTACCTAAAGTCTTCTGTTATGAAATGCCCAGAGCATCTCTTCCTCCTCTCTTTAGTATTGAACTGTTAAGCGTTACAAGGTAACAGATGTTGAAAAGAATCGGCAGCCTGGGAACAACTGTGGAATTTTACCATTACATTTCAGAGTAAAAGAGGTGATTACAATAGCCCAAGTTAGCACATAATCCCGTTAGTTGCACTATAATAACAAGCTTCAATGATGGGAGAAAATGTTGCAATTACTATAGTCACACTCCACGACAAGACAGATGACATAATTACTATTCTGGCTGTGACACCCACTGCATTTATCTTTTGCATCTCA